TAAAATAATTCTAATAAAAGAATTAAAAATATAACATAATTTCTAATTTCAATCTTAATACAAATCTATAGTTAATACTATTAAGTAAAATTTTTAACTCCTCTTTTAATTATCAATAAACATTAATAATCTAAAAATCAACTTCTAAATTAATTTCTATTATCAAAATTTTCTTTTTATTTCATAAATTCGTACCTAAAATACCCAAAAATTAAAAATTGAGTCTCTAGCTTAGAATCATAATCCTATAACCATAATAATTCATTTTTCATCCCAAATAATCATCTAAACCTCAATAAATTAACATATATTTTCAGATGTAGTTTAGAATTTGATCCATAAGCCACAGATTCAAAGATCATCAATAAATTTATACTCTAGAACATTTATTATACTACTGACAACCTCAAAGATCATATTTATTCAACATAAATTCATCCCTCTTCCAGATCTTAAATTTTCTACCACTACAAACTCAGAAACTAAAGAAGAAGGATGACTAAAAAAAAATTTTAGAATACTTACTTAGTCTTGAAAACTTAAAATCACACCCTAAATATCCTATTAAAAACTCTTACCTTAAAACCCAGCACCAGTGAACTTGGCTCACAGATGCTCTCTCTGTCTCAACTCACGCACGAAAGAAAGAATGAAGAAATGAAGGAACAAGTGAGTTTTTATAAAAATTCAGTGGGTCCCACATTTTTTTTAATTATTTCCTCTCTCTTCTTCTTCTTTTTTTTTATTATTATTTTATTTTACTATTGAGGCGGCGGCCGAAGCAAACTTCTCTTTTTCTTCTTCTCTCTCTGTTTTTTTTTGCATACCTTTTTTTTTATAATAATAATTTAATAATATTTTTTTAATTAATTAATAATAATAATTTTTTTAATTTTTTTTTAAAATTTTATTTAGAATTATATCCTAAGTTAGATTTAATGATCATTTTTTACTAATTTATTTACCTCTAAATATTTTTTTTAAAATTTTTATTAACCCAAATTAACTATTAAAATTTAAATTGGGATGTTACAATTAATCCTTCTACGAATTAAAATATTAAAAAAACTAAAATAATAGGGACTTAAAAAATAAATATCACCTAATCTTTTTAAAATTATAAGAATTTAAAACACAACAAAAAAATTATAGTGTTAACAGTAAAACCTAATAGATGATTGTGTTTTTACTCGCTATAATAACAAGGACAAACTTTATATTTCATCACCCGTATATAAAATTGAAAATTGAGGAGCTTAAATGTATTTTATAATTCTTAAGGGAATGACCTACAAATTTTAATTAACATATGATCAGATGGTTGCAGCACCCTAACCAAAAGTTTTTATTTGTAAAAAAATAAAAATCAAAATATAACTTTCAATCCTTATAATTGCACATAATTTGCTATTAATTCCTATATTTTATTTTTAGTCTTTTAAGTCTCTACAATTTTTTTGCCTGCACTTTAGGTCCCTAAATTTTTCAGATGAGTGTTGACATGGCACTAACGGTGTTAATTATACTGATGTGAATAATAACACCGTTAATTATATAATGACATATCAGTTACCAATTGATGTGTATTTTTTTGTGGGAAAAAAAAGAAAGAAAAGCTTATACGTACTCCCCCGGTCTATATTATAAGACACTTTTACCCATTTAATGCATATTAAAAAAAGTTATTTTTTTGATATTATAAAAAATGATATATACTTTCAATTTTATTTTTAACTTTAAATAATAATATAATTATATTAAATACTTTCACATTAATAAAAAAAGATAAAATAAAAAAAATTTAATCATTACAACGCATCTTATATTTTAGACTATCCCAAAGTTGAATAATATATTTTATATATACTAAAAAATAATAAATTACCTCAAACCTAACATCAAACTTGACTTCAGAACAGAAAATTGTAGGAAAGACATTTTGAAATACATAATTACAGTGAACCTAAAAATAAATATGTGGCATCTTTTTATAGTTTTAAACCTTACTTTTTTATATATATAAGAATTATTAAAAAATACATATAAATTTTTCTTTCTTTTATTACTCATAAAAAATACACATCAACAATTAACTAACACATCACCATATAATTAATAATATTATTATTTACATCAATATAATTAATATTATTAATACTAAGTCAACACCCTTTTAAAAATGTAAAGGCTTAAAATATAAATAAAAAAACTGTAAGAATTTAAAATATAAAATATAAAATATAAAAATTAATAATAATTTGAGTGTAAAGTGTAAGAATTAAAAATTATGTATTTTTTTAAAAAAAAAAAAAACGTTATGGGATGAAAGGCAAAGGAAATTCCGAGCGCTCCCTTGATTGGGACTGATTAGACAGGTTAGCTTTGTTTGTTTCCTCTTATCGTTTTCCCCTCGCATTTATCCCCACTTTTATTTTTCCACCTTTATTTTTTAAAAAATTTCTAATTGTTTCAAAAATTATAATATCTCTCTCATTTATGCGTATTTTATTATTTACACTATTATTCTGATTTTGTAATTGTCTTAAGCATTATATGTGAATTTAAAAGTTATAATACGCCTTTCCAAAGTACTTTTATATACACATCGATCATAATATCACACTTTTATTTCCTCAGACACCATTAAATCTTTCCATTTTCTTGGCCAAGTATTATTAATTATCAATAAGTTTAACTGTTCCTCCCTGTAAGTGCAATGAAAGGACACTCCTTTTTTACATGTAAAATATTAATCATGTTTTGAAGGCTGATCACCAGATTAAAATGTAGGAAAAATTACTTATAAGTCCCATAAAAATAATTTATTCATAAATAAATTGAGGCATGAATACAATACTGCCCTTGTTAAAAATACTAAAGTTATAATTATAAAATTTAAAGTGATAGTTACAAATTAATGATGAGATATATTTATAAAAAAATAATATTAAACTTTATTAGTAACACATGATTGGTTTAACTATTAAACATGTGAAGTTATAATTATAAAATATTAAAATGATAGTTGTAAATTAATGATGAGATAATTATATAAAATTAGTATTAATTTTTTAATGCATGATTAATTTAATTATTGGATATGCAAATTATAGTTAGAAAAAGTTAAAATTATAATCATAAATTACTAATGAAGTAATTGTAAATTATTTTATTAACATAATATATTCTTTAATAGGGGCACTACTATATTTGTATCCTAATTTCAAATTATACCAAGGTTTCAAGGAGCTAGCCATAGTTCTTGAATTTCACAAAATTTATTTGTAAATAAATTTACTCTATAGAATCTATACATAATTCTTTCTAAAATATATATGTAAAATATACATGGACTCTTTTTATTAGTAATATATTTACCAATTAAACAAATTTAAACAACAAGCCACTCCAAATGGTAAAATCTGGAAAGGAGAAAAAGAAGAAGAAGAAGCAAGAGACTCTAGCTTTCAAAGCTCTTTAAGGTATCTTCTGGTTCAGCATACCAAACCTCAAGTTTGGTCTCCAAACCAAATCGATCAAATAAAAGTCAGTTAAAAAAAACTCTGAATTATAAATCAAGAATTTCAGTTAAGTCACTCACTAATCACTGCATGTATTTTAAGCATGATAACCTTTTAATATCAAGCGGCAACTATATATAGGTTATTTAATAGTTTAAAACTTTTCAAAAGATTGTACGTGTCTTCTGATTGAAAATGAATAAAAAAAAAATTGAAGGGGCTTGTCACACGATGAAAATAGAATAGAAAAGTGAGAAAAAAGTTATATTAAACAATTACACAAATATCATAGATATTTTATATTTTGAATTTTATCTAATAACCTCTTCCTTGGTTTTTACCTAAAGAGTCATCCTACGTATAATTATATAACATAATGAACAACATGCTTAAATCTATATTGGTTGATTTTATTTTAAGACTATACGTATTTTTGCGGTATGGTATAGTATGAGGTAAGAAAAGTGAGCTAAATTGTTAATGTTTATGAATAACATGAATTTCTACAAATTATATATACATATATTGAAATATTTATTATACTAAAGGTAATTAAGATCAAAGTGTGGAGAATTTTACAAGGCGCATACTTCTTGTTTGATCCATTTAATTTGGGAACTTTCTTCTAAGTCCCTCAAAACTTTAATAAAATTAAATATTAAAAAACTGTTATCAAAGTAATCATTATTCTTCTTCTTAAAAACCATTCTCACTCCACCATAGCTATTAGAGCTCAATTGCTGGCTACCAGCGTTAGGGCTTTGGCTGCTTGACAATCCACAACCAAACTGAGCTGTAGTGCCAGACATTGGCATGATGAGAAAATAATTAATGGTGAGCAACCTTGGATTTAAGCTGATGATCATTAGTTTCCCCAAAATGACCAAAATAATCAAGCCATTTAACAATTCTTGTCAATACAAGGCACACATTTTATCACTTCTAAATTCAAGAATCAATATAAATGTATGTTAACTTCAAAAGATTAGTTATAAATATTACTATAAATGAGTTGTGAATCCTAAAAGGCCACTTGTAAAAGAATGTTATAGTTTACAAAAGGTAGTGTTCAAATTATAATGCATCTTATTTGTAAAGTTTTAAAGGGTAATTGTAAATATATTTTAAACGAGTTGTAAATTATAAAAGAAAAGAAAGAGAAAATGGAAAAGAGGATGATAAATAAAATTGTGAATTCGAGGGTACATTTTGAAAAGGCCCTTAAAAATTTAAAAATGGTAGCTGTAAATATAATATGATATAGTTATGAATGCAAAAGGGGGCTCTTATAAATGAATTTGCTTAGCTTAACAAGACTCGAATTGATCTCTAAATCAAAGTGATTGTTAAATTTTGGAATAAAAAATAAAAGGGGGGGGGGAATCGAGGTGGGCAATATGGTAAATTATCAACTAATCAAGGAAAGCTTGGTCTATTGCTTCCATGGGGCTCTGCCTCTTCATATAATCCCATCGGTGTTGCCTTCTTGGAGGAAGAATCTCTTCCTTCCTTTCTCTTCTTTCTCAGACCAAACCATTTTTCCTTCTCTTTGAAACCTCCCATCTCTCTCTCTCTCTCTCTCTCATTCAAATACTCTCTACCCTCTCCCTCTACTTCTGCCTCTGTAATTTATTGAGATCTGACAATCTTCATCTCTCTTCCACTCCCTGCCACTCTCATGGCTATGATTTCTCCTTACTCTCATCATTCCCACATTACTCTTATTCTCATCCCTTTCTTCCTTCCTTCTTAAATTTTCGATCAAACCCCACTTGCTGTTTTCGTCCCTATAAATGTTCTTAGCCCCTGAAACTCAAGATTCCCAGAAACCATCCCCACCCTCTTAGTTTGTATGCCCTCCATGGCTGGTCCTAAGCTTTACGCTCCCTCAAATCTCACAGCCTTTCTTCAAAACGAAACCCTTCCTTCCCCCTCTCATGTTCTTGACTCTTTCTTGCTTCACCACTCTGAGCTCTCCTTTCAAGGTGAATTATCTTCTCTGCTTTGCTCTGTTCTGTTCTGACTTATGAGTTTTTCGACGAAAATTCTTATTATGAACATGATCTGTTTGTTTGTTTTTGAAAGAGAGATTGGAAGTGGGTTTACCATTTCGCAGAAAAACCCAGAGAATTCTCTTTCATAAGCAATTGAATTAACGGGTTAACGTTGTCTGCTTTCAGGTTCGAAACCTCTGGTTGATTTCGAGAATGTTAGTGGAAGCACAGTCACAGAATTGCCATTTTTCCAAGGTCTAGACAAAGAAGAGACCACTGAAGAGGAATACGATGCCTGCTTTAATCAACCAGGGAAGAAGAGGAGGCTCTCGAGCCAACAAGTTCAGTTCCTCGAGAAGAACTTCGCGGTAGAAAACAAGCTCGAACCCGAAAGAAAAGTTCAACTCGCTAAAGAACTCGGCTTGCAGCCGAGGCAAGTCGCTATTTGGTTTCAGAACCGAAGAGCTCGGTTCAAGACCAAGCAGCTCGAGAAAGACTACGCCACCTTAAAAGCTAGCTACGACAAACTCAAAGGTGACTATGATGGTTTAATTCAGCAGAATGACAAGTTAAAAGAAGAGGTAATTAATCATCACTCTCTGTCTGTTGAACTGTAGATCAGTAATTCAGTACTCGTGCTTCTGAGTTTCATCATGGATCAATGATGGAATGGTACAATGTTATTTATCTGGTACAGGTGAATTCTCTGAAGAACAGGTTGGTGGGGAGAGATAAAGCGAAAGGAGAGAATTACGGGAAGTGTGTTGTCGATGTTTTGATCTCAAATAACGGAGCTTCCTGTGAAGATGGGTCGAAAGTGGAAAAAGTCCCTACAGTAATATGCAAACAAGAAGATGCTAATTCGGCTAAAAGTGATGTGTTTGATTCAGAAAGCCCACACCAAACTGCAGATTCGTCCCATGCCTTCGAAGCTGCAGATCACTCAGATTTCTCACAGGACGAAGAAGATAACCTGAGTCATCATAACCTCTTGAGTCTGCCATGCCTGCCAAAGGTTGAAGAAGAGCCCTGTAACTTCGGATTCCCAGATGATGAAGATCAACCCTTCTGTTTTTGGTCTTATTATGTTAGTAATTGAATTATATTCCTAGCTGTAACTCTGCACTACAAGCAATAAGAATATTATCAATCTAAGTTTGAACAAAAGATAATGGGTTTTGCAAAACCCAGAAAACTAGTTCAGATTATGAGTATTTGGTATTGCAAAATCGAGAGAGGGGGGGGGGGGGGAGAGAGATTCCGTGACCAAAACGTTGTTTTCCTCTTTGAATTTGGAGACTGTCTCTGTGTGTCTAGAATCTGTAACAACCATATGTTGTTGCTATTGTATTGTGCTCTGCAAAAATCTCTCATAATTCAACACTCTTCGGTAATCATAATTTACTTTTTACACAGCATTCCATTTATCTTCCTTCCATTTGGCTTGACTATAAGTATTTGGTTTTATGCTTAAAGCCACCAACATTTTGAATATGCTACAACACAAAACCAAACAGTCTAGGTCATTTAGCATGTTTCAGTTATACGGCTTTAAATTCAAGTTGCATTTTTTAAATGATCTCTCCCTCATGATTTTATATTTGAAAAGATTGAAAAAGTGACTTAATAGTGTATATACAAGCTGACTCGCTGTGTCAAGTTTTTTTTTTTTTTTAAAGAAAAGAACTCACGTGCAATTGATGCAAATTGTAACCAATCATGCATACCAAATCCAGTATCCTTTGCAAATTCACATACACAGCAAGTGTGGCCTCCTGACACAAAAAGAGAATGATTTTGAGATAAAAAGCTATAAAAATTATAAATTATTTGAATATTTTAATCATTCTCTGAATACATTTTTAGTTCTATTGTTTGTTTAGTTCAGGTGTTTCTGTATGCCACGCATTGTTAACCTAAATCCAAAAAATATGTATATATCTTACGTACTGAGATTGTAAACCCTGAGAAGAAGCTTGGAAAATAAACGTTAGATACTTGTCCCACAAGAAATTTGAACTGAATCTCGTTCAGAATTTGGGTCTTCACGAGGGAATTCGAACTCCTTTAATTTTTGGCCAACGTGTCCGTCCGCGATAGATCGATCTCCCGCCAAAACCCAACGAAGAGAAAAAGAGAAGCATGTTGAGAAGGAAGGTGAAATCAAATGACCGAATCGTGCTACAGAAAAGTCAAAGTTCTGGTAAGGTTTTATTATTGCACAACTTTGATTGGCGACGACTTTCAGGCTCTTGATTGCTTATTTTTCAAGACGTTGATAGCTTAAGTCTCTGGATAGATCAGTCTCACTCTGTAATTTTTCTCCTTCAAGAAATTCAAACTCATATTTAAAGTTTAAACCCATGCCTTTGTTTCTTCATCGTGATTCAATATTGTCTCCGTTCTAGAGAGGTTCTAGCTGTTGCCTCTATATATATATATATATATATATATATGCTGCTTCCTGCATGGACAAAAGTCTCTTTAAAGCGTCTCGTCCTTTAAAATATTATCGGTTACTGAGATAGTTGCATCATCCATTGACAAAATTACGAAATATAACGCTGCTTTTAGGGATGCCCGTTATGTGTTTGACACAATTCACGTGAGAAAAGATAAAATATTTGTTTATAAGGTTAAATTTTTCAGTAGCTCCCCCACTTCCCTTTCTCCGTGTCCTTGGAGGCCAGTGATAAATTCATAAAAGAGACTTTGTTGTGAAGAACGAGAGAGAAAGTGCTGTAGAAGTTAACAGAGGAGTCAACAATGTCATGCTCTTCCTTGCATTGTTTTCTTTCTCTCTTTTTAGTTTCCAATCTGGATTTTTTTTTAAAAGCTCGTATGGCCAAGGTCAAAAGTTTCTTGTGGTCCTGCAGTTGTGGGGACACAATATGCTGTATTTGGCATTTGATTATGATGGCAAGTGTAGTTGAGTGAAACTCATTAGTTGCATAGTTAGAATAGTGTATCATAGTTAATGCTTATATTTTTTTTGGTTAACAAAAAAGTAATAGGTGAGTTGAATTAAAAAAAAAAAAACTCAAGTTTGGGAAAGTCTCACGGTTCAAGTAACATATGGTGCTTTAACCCCCAAAAAAAAAACATGGTGCATTTAGATATGAGAATTTATATTTGGATTTCAATTAAATATTTTACTTGTATATATAAAAGTTTATAAATCTATGTTTTATAATAACTCTTTGTGATTTTAAATTCTTTTTATACTCTAATTATTTAAAATTCTGGTTACTTCAATCATCTCATTTTCTTTATGTTTTTACTATTAATGTTTTTGTTGCTCTTGTTTCTTCTCTCATTTATTGTTCTTGTCTTTCACTGATCAAAGAATAAAGATAGAGTTAGAAATATGGATCGAGTTATATAAGTTAGCCTGAATAATTGATCATATGGGTTGGATTAAGTTGAAAAAAAATTAACCCAAATAAAAATAAGTTTTTTCTGGTCCAGACTAGATAACCCACAAACCATATGGGTTAATGTTGATGGGCTAGGATTGGCTTGTTTAACACATATTATTTTTAAAAAATATATAAAAAATAGATAAATATTATAGATTCATGACTTTTGATAAATAAGTGAGCATGATTTGACTGGCTCAATTCATATAATTTATATAAATATTATGGGTTAACATTTTGGTGTATCTATAATGAATCATGACATGAAGGAATATCATATTGGAATTCATTACCATTTTCATTTAGGTGTATCTTTAAAAATAAATTAAAAAATAAAATAAAATAGATTGGTGGATTAGCTCATTTAATTTGTTAACTCTCAAAGGTTGAATTGAGTTAGAATTTTTTTAACTCATATAAAAATAAATTGAACTCAAACCAATCTATACCTAATCCACATGGGCCAACTTATATAATTTGAATTAACCTATGTTCACAGCTCTAAAGGTAAGCCCGCTCTCAATTTTATGTTTTAGCTTTGAAATTCAGCACATATCTCTTTTTCTTTTAAAATCTCTTTATACTCTCCAAACGAAAAGATTTAAAATATATAAATTTTAGATGCAAGATTTTAAATGCATCAATCCAAACGCAATCTTGCATGTGTCTTTTTTGAGTTAATGTTTAGATTTATTGGGATGAGAAGTAGGTAATGATGGATAGCTTCCATAAATATAAGGTAGCTAGCTTGGGGAGAGAATTTGAAAATGATGAGCTCTGAAATCATTGAAAGCCTATATTTTTTTAGCTAAATGTCTATATGGCTACCTTAGGGAAGGACCACGCTTGAAGCTGGAGATACAATGAAAATGATGATGCTTTTCAGCGTTTTTGGTAGGAAGAAAGCTATGGGGTGGTCACAGTAGTCATGCTTATTGGCGAAAAGCAACTTTGAAATCCGTATGTAAATGTGGCGTCAAAGAAACAAATTCTGCGCAGATCTTAGTGAACATCATTATTAATTGGTCATGTCTCAAAAAGTCCAGCTTTCCGTAACCATTAGCACAATCATTTGGGAAAGAGTTTGTTGGTAAAGATTGTGTGCGTAAATTTTGCGATCAATACTCCAAATAGAACTTAGTGTCATTGAATTTGGATCTCCCCTTTGCAACGCAGATAACTTAATTCTACACGAAATCGCAGATGCAATTATAGATAAGACACCTTGTCAGTGACTTTCACCTACGTCTGTCTTTCCTTCCCCTACATTATTCGTTTTATTAGGAAACGAAATAATATTCTTCCAGCTTTCACCAATTTTGTCCTTTTGTTTCAAAAAATAAAAATAAAAATAAATAAAACTGTTATTTTTATTTTTTTCATAGAACATTTGCACCTGTTTCATGTGCACAAATTGCATCTTAATTTTACAATATTTTACCTCATTTATTAATAGTTGTTGGTAAATTTTATCCTAGAAAAATAGAATTTTTTACTCCTAAACTTATTTTTAATTATAAATTTAATTTCTAAGCATGGACTCAGAACAACTCTCAGCCCCGGTAAATTCTTAATTCAGAATAATTCAGACCTTAATTTTTTAACTCATTGTAATTTAATCCTTCTATAAAATGTGTTGAATGTTGATTCAATGAACTATAAGGGTTGAATTGTATTGAATTAAAGTTTAAGGATTAACTTAATAATTGGAAGAAAATTTAAAGATTAAAAATTATATTATCTTCTTTTTATATACCCTATCTGTTAAAAAATGAAAGGTATTTTTAACAGAACTTCACCCTCCAATAAAGTAGTTACTTATTTTTAAATTAATCCCATCTTTTCATATTTATCTTTATTTAATAAATTATTTCACCTTACAAAAATAAAAGTAATATACACCTTAAAAGACTCAAAATATCTTAACAGAGACAGTATTTTTTATAGTTACTTAAATTAAATATAGTTAAAAATTTCTTGTGTTGGGCACTGCAACTTCCACGCCCCTCCAATATTTTGTACAATTCACATTCTGAAATATTTTGTGGTCCTTTATATTAGTCATTTTCTCTTTTTTTTTGTAATTTTTGGTGTATAATTCTAAAAGTATTTTTCAGTAAATTCTAAAAAGAAATACAATATTTTAATTTTCAAGGAAACCTCACACACATATCAAATAACTATTTTTTAAATTTATGAATAAAATTTAAAAATGATTTATTTTTAAGGTGAGTTAGTAAGAAGTGAATTATAAAAGAGACGGGAAGAAGTATGTGGTAACTATGGATTTAGGTTCTTTCCTGCCCGGAGGAAAAAGACACAAACCACCTCAAGTGTAGCTCACGAGCTCTTGTCTTTCTCTTTTTGAGAGGCACCTGCTCATCAAACCAAAGAGCTAGACTCCGTGCCAAGTTGATGTAAAGATAGCTTTTATGATTCTTTCATACTTTAAAGGATAAATTGGTATAGTGGGAGAGAAATGATTTTGTACCTAAAAAATATGAATCAAATTTTTAAAAACTTGAGAGTGTAACTGGTTCACATTAATACATAAAAAATTTATTATTAATGTATAAGGAGTTTATTATTAAAAATTTAAAAATTTATGATAGATTTATTATTGATATATAATAGCATATCATTGATAAATATAATAAATTGATCATAACGTGAAATATAATAAATGTTGAGTTGTTTTTTTGATTTGATCCTATTACATAAATTATATTTGCAAAAGCTCATATGTTATATCTTTCCCATGTTAAGTTACTGTTTTTAATAGAGCTGAGAAAACGAGCTAGCCTTTAACGAGCTTGGGCCAAAAAAGGTCAGCCTTAAAAAGCTTATTTTTCTTTGAGGTACCAAATTATAGGGTCTAGCCCATGAGATAATGGGCTCAAGGTTGGCCCTGCGGGCTTCAAGCCCTATTACTTATTTTTATTTTTTTATTAAATTTTTATCAAATTAAATAGTAATACTCTATTTCATTTCA